TTGCTGTGAAATTGCCTTCTTTAAAAGGCCGCGCTATATCCGTCACATAATATTTAATCCCATCCCGTTACATTTTGGCAAAGAAGGGGACAGATTGTACTTCAAGGGATCTTATTTCATCCAGGCAAAACTCAAGGGTTTGGGGTGTTGATATTGCTGTGTGTTTCAGCTGGAAAGAGAGGAAAGCATGTGATCCCAGCATTTTTCCAGCGCAGTGTGTGGAAGTGGCAAGCTATTAAACAGCAGGAGCATCAGGTTTCTGAGCTGCCAGTGTCAGCTTTCTAGACAGCATTTGTCTCCCTTGAAGGAGTTGTTCTGCACTAGCATAGCCTTTTGTGTTTCAGAGGAAGCAAATGGGTAACTTCCTTTAATCAGAAGAGATATCTTAAGCACCATGGGAAGAAAATCTGACAGAGTGAATCCGACCAAACCAAGCCCACGTTAGGAATTGCATTATTGAGTAAGAGCACTGAAGCAGAGTTGCTTCTCTGCTCTTACCAAATCTGCTGGGAGCCAACAAATAGCCCTTTTTCAGGTAGCCCTTCTCTTACTGGGGAGGGACAGATCTCATGATCATCTGTTGGACTGCTGTATTGTTCAGCACTGGAAAGATAAACATTTATTTCCTTCCTTCCTTCCTTCCTTCCTTCCTTCCTTCCTTCCTTCCTTCCTTCCTTCCTTCCTTCCTTCCTTCCATTTATTGGTCACCAAATTCCAGTGGACTCTGGAGTGGCCCCAACTATCCAGTGGGTTGCAGAATTAATGCCACCAGCAATTTACAAGCCAATAACTTATCTATAGAGATTAGCTATGGATGATTGTAAGGAATTATGGCTTCCATTCATTGAAATGTGTATTGTACCAGTTTTATGCATGTATGTGTGTCTGTGACTATATGCCCTATATGTTTTTGTTTTTGTTTTTGTTTCTGTTTTGTTTTTTCTTTATCATTTTGTGTATATTTGTGTTTCGTGTTCAGTTAATAAAAAGATTTCTTGGGGAAAAAATCTATTGGGCTGCTGTGACGCTATCAGTAGGCATCTGAGAAATACACTGGCTTGGATTTGTTTGGAGTTGGACTCTGACTGGGCAGGTCCGGTTAGGGTGAAGGAGGTACAGTCTTGCTTGGTTAGTTGGGAAGAGTTTGATTCTGTGACTCCTGATGAAGTGGGCAGGATACTTGGGATTGCTAACCCATCCACTTGTTTGTTAGTTCCTTGTCCCTCCTGGCAGGTGATGTCCACTCAGGAGGGAATATGCAGTTGGTTCCATGAGGTGGTACCAACCTCTCTTCTGCCAGCCTTGAAGGAAGCATTGGTGGGCTCCCTCCTTAAGAGGCTGTCACTGGACAACTTTCATTCAGGCTCCCACCTCCCCTTCTGGGGGAGAGTTATGAAAAAGGTGCTCAGATTGCAGCTGCCAAGGACTCTAATTAAAACTCGAATTATCTGGAGCTTTTTCATTTGGGTTTCAGGCTGAGAAATAGTATCGAGACAGCATTTGTCATGCTTGTGGATGGGGATGGTGCATCCATTCCTGTGCTCTTTGATCTCTTAGCAATCGTTGATACCATTGTTCATGGTATCTTGTGGCAGCTGTAGGGAATGGAGTGGGAGGCATGGCATTGTGGTGGTTCTCCTCCTTTCTCCACAGCTGATTCCAGTCAATGTTGGTGGGGGGAAGATGCAAAATCTGTGCCTGTTCCTGGACTAAGAGGCCCTCCTTATAGTCATTCATGACTCAGTCACCTTGCAAATGGTCTGTTGCAATACGTTTTTCATGAGGCTGCCCGTAAAGACCACTCAAAAACTACATCTTGTACAAAATACAGCAACACAAGCAGTGATGGGAAGGCCTCACTATGTCTATATAACATAGTGCTCTGCTACATGAGCTGTGCTGGTTAACAGTAAGCTTTGAGGAACAATTTAAGGTGCTGGTTGTTATCTATAAAGCCCTAATGCAGGGCCTGACTATGTGAGGGACAGTCTTTCTCCTGCAGTATCTGCCCACCCTGTATAATCTTTGGGTCCTGTTAATTAAGCCAGTGTCTTGGTCTGGGTCCAGGCAATTAAGCAATGCCATTTAGCAGGACCAGGAACCAGTCCTGCCCTGAAGATTTCTTTGGCCACCACCTGACCTGCTTTAAATGAGCTCTGAAAATAAGTGTCTCCTCTCGGGCCTTGGGTTAGGTTGTCCAGCAGGCTCTTTTAGGTTGGGGGTGATGTGGGAGATTTTTTTTTTTTAATTTGTTGCCTTGGGACAATTATGTGTGGGTTTATATATAACATGGGTTAACAAGGTGTTTTCAAATTGAAAAGTCATCATTTGTGTTTGGAGATAATTCATTATTGCAAAAGGAATTTAAAAGTTTAACAAGCTATATGGCTTATCTTATTTTTAAATGCTATGGATCTATAATTTTGGCACCTGAAATGGACAAGGGATGAGGAAACTTTCTATATAGCTTGCTTTTTCTTTATAAATAAAAAATAAAGCGAATTACGGTATCTATCCACAAATAATGCAATAATAAAATAATAATAATAATACATTTATTATTATATAACTAGAAATTATTAAGATCTGCATGATGTGGTAAATGCAGGTTAGAACAAAGTTGAGGAATGAAAGCATTAAATCATACTAAATTCTTAGCAGAATGTAAAGTTCTTAGATCTTAGAAACTCATTCATCTCCCTTGAAGGGTACTTCCAAGATTTTAGAGGCACTTTAGGAAAAGGTGTTGTTTCACATCCAAGAGCTGTGCTCTGGAAAATAATAGGGTGCTTGCGGAACGTCTTGATATTCAACAGAGTGGGAAGGGGGGGATCATTTTGGAAGGCTACAATCTTCTGCTATCCTGGCTTCAATTCATTTAGGGCTTTGAAGATAAAAGCCAGCACTTTGAATTGCATCTAGAAATTAACTGGAAGTGAGTCAAATCCAAAACTAAGTAAAATAAAGTGGCCCACATGAGTTTCTGATGGTTTTTCTGAATCATTCCCCCCCCCCCCCGCTTTGCTTCAGGTTAATAATGACCTGTGTGTTAGTGGTTATGTCTGTGTTATACAGGAAGGGGTACAACATTTACTGGAATGTCCTGATGTCTTTATAAACATCCCCACAGATTTCTTGGCAATAGTAGTGTATAAAAGTGATTTACTGTTGCTTTCTTCTGAACAGTTTTTCCCCATTTCCCAGTCCAGCCTACAATCCTGGGATTCCCAGGACTAATCAGCCAAAACCCATAGGTTCTCTCCCAAATTTATATATTGAAGTTGTTCTCTATCAGGTTTGATATCCCAGTTTTGGAACTGCCATCTAAGCACAAATGGAGGTAGGTAAAAATGTGCTCAAGGACACATCTCATCTGTCTATGCTTAGGGATATGTGTCTGCAAGTTCTTTGAATGTAAGAACATAATAATTTGAATTCTATGCATCCCACAGCATTTACTTTAGAAACTCCTAATGTGCTATATTAAGTCATTTCTGATCCATCAGAGTAGAAATTGCCAGTAATGATGGCTGTAAATATCCTGGTGCCCAATTATTTTCAGATTTAAGAAACAAGAAGTAAAAATTAGGTTGGCCAGCAGCCAGTGCAGTCTTGCAAAGTTTTCTCAAACTTAAAATCCAGTGCATTCAGTGTGGTTAATCGAATAGATATATAAATAGCCAGAGAACTTTAATAGCTTCATATTTATTTATTTGTTTTTGCTTAGATACCCAAAACATAATTGCATATCAGTAATAGAATTTTAAGGTATTTTTGTATCTGTAAAGCATTACTGTCTCTAGCACCTAATGCTTAACGGTGCTGTATTGCTTGGAATGGTGATTAAGATATGTACCCAGATAAAATAGATGTTGATTTTTCTGTCACGTACTGGCCTATTTTTTATTTTCATTGAGCAATGAAACAGTCTATCCTGAATTACCTCAAGTTCATTTTCAAAAGTAGTTAATGAAACCATTCTGGAAAGCAGGTTGGCATGCAGAATAACTCCATTGCATATAAATGTAGGTAAATTATTTTGGAAGCTTTAGTGTTGGCTACTTACTATAACCTATTTTCTTTAAAGCATCGGAATATTGAGCCCTCCAGTGGTTTGTGTGTGTGTGTAGGGTTTTTTTGTTTTTTGTTTTTAGTATTGTGCTTATCAAGATAGTAGCCTTGATGGCAATGTGACTGTCTCTGCTGGGGGACTAGTGGGGTTCCTTGTGCAATCGGTTGGCCACTGTAAGAACAGACTGCTGGACTAGATGGGCCAGGGGTCTGTTCCAGAAGGACACTGCTTATGTTGGACTCACATACCAATGCTCAGCAAAAAAGGGTATAAATTGAACAACTGACAGCATTATCCAAAAGGAAGTAAGTCCTACATTAAAGATGAATCCACACAAACAAGGAACAGGAGACAGAACGTCTATAACACATACAGAAATCTTCCAGCTTCCTTACATTGTCAACCCAAATTGTCACTGAAACCAGTTCTTGCTATTTCCGCACTTCCAACAAGAATGCATAAGTACTAGTCAGAGGCCACACTCTGAAAAGTTAAGTGAAGGTTAATTAAACAATGACTTTTGATTAAAATGAGTTATTGGTAAAATAATTACAGGTAAAAAAATTACCTGTAAAATATTTTTGCTTTTGTAAATTAATTCAGCCCCGACCTGGACACACATACACACACATAAAACATTTGCACATAAATTGCTCTTTCACATACACAAATTTACAAAAGTGCTTGACTGCAGATGGACCGTAGCCTAAGGTCATTTTTTGTGTTCTAATCACCTGCTCGGCCCTGGTTTGATGTAAATAGCAGTAGCTTCAGAGAAGCCATTTCTAAAGATGGTGGACAGAGATGCTGGTGGGAATATGTGTGCACCTTATTGTGAAAGCAGGGATCGGTCCCTGTTTTCTTCTGAATGAATTGACGTGTACCTTCATATTGACCTGTTGTTGGTCTTTCTTTTCTCTTTTAGGTTCCTACATGGTAGTAGATTCTTCACACCACAGCCATGGAGAAAAGGCACGACTTCAGCTTCCTACCATGAAAGAGAATGATACTCACTGTATCGATTTCAGCTACCTTTTGTACAGTAAGAAAGGGACAAGCCCTGGAACTCTGAACATCTTGGTTAGGGTGAACAAGGGTCCTCTGGCGAACCCCATTTGGAATGTGACCGGCTCTACTGGCAAAGACTGGCTACGGGCAGAGCTGGCTGTCAGCACCTTCTGGCCAAATGAATATCAGGTAAGCCAGGAGCAAAACCAAATAAAGAACAAAGAAAAGAGATTTGTATCTACTACCAGCAGGTATAATTTCTTCACTTCCTGGCCACGCATCCTTAAGATGCTACTAGAAAAGAAGGGTCATATTGCAGTGCAGAAATAGTGAGAGAGTGTTGGTGGGTACTCCAGGTGTGTTATATCTGCCAATTCCCCAGCATCTCTGGAAGTGGATCAGAAGGAACAAGGGCATTTCCAAAGACTCAGGATTTGGTGTTGAGAAAATATTCACTTGTTTCCAGCTGCTGAGAATGGCTATTAATGTCTTTGACAGGCAGTTCCCTGGCATCATTTAAGAATTTGCTACTCTCCCTCAACCATTGCATCCTTTATTCTTCCAATCACCTAACTTTGATTTTATGTCCCCCCCCCCCCCCCCCCCCCATTCTGGCTACAATTTTCTATTGTGGCGTGAGCTATGTTTCCTGGTCTAATTGCATAAACCATCGGAGAAATCAGGAAAAACAAGGCAAGCAATATTTAGGGTGCAAAGGTAATGCTCTGAGTGCCAAGAATAGCTATGATATGAAATATGGGACATATGAGATGTGTGGTGTGTGTTACAGATGTGTTATGTTTTACATATTAGGATATGAAGAGCCTTCATCTGCTTGAAATGCGGAAGAAAAGAGAGAGGAAAGATTCATCCATTTCTTTCTTTTTCTCCTCTTCACTTGAATAAGACAATTTATTCCAAAATCTTAGGATTTCAATGCTTCCTGTTCCAGCCCTGTTCCTTTAAAGAAGTGGGTATGGGTATCTAGTCTGTTTGATCTCTTGCTCAGTAAATGGAGATAGACTGTAGATGGGGAACAATGCAGTAAATGATATGAAGACTCATCTCAAATAAGACTATGCCATGTGGAAATTCTGATCAGTAAGAGAGGTATTTTGCTAATAGTTTTTAGAAAGCATTCTTCCACTAGAACTATCCCCTCTATATTTCCTGCTATTTGGGCTCTTTTGTTTATGCACATAACAAAGCAAGTGCTAAGGGAAAATGAAATATCTCCCATTTCTCTCCATCAAAAGAAATGTAGGTCAGAAGCATTTGTTTACCCCAGCTTTTGATTACTATAAGATGAACCAGCTCTAAGTGCCACCTAATGGAGTGCCATTGGAAAGCCATATAATCTTGTACAATTTTATGGAGAGAGAAAGCTATATCACCCTAAACTGTTTTCTTCCTTTGTGAACAGTGTACTTTTTTTTTTTTTGCTCTTCTTTTGTAAGTACTTCCTTTCAAGACATGAGGTCAACACAGCTGCTTAAAAGTACCAATTCCCTTCCCCCTGTGCAAAGCTGGTTTTAATGTTGTGTTTCACTACAGAGTATAGCATGAATGTTTCCTTTGTTCAGCTGCAATTCTCTCTGACAATTCTTCAGTTGACCAACTCTGCTGGTTGCATGTTAGCCTATTGAGAGTTTAGCAAACACTCGCATAATGTCACATGTGTTTAAGACAGGATTGACAGCTATGAATTTGCTTTTCAGGGCTTCACTTGAAATGTAAAACAAAGACATATTCATGCCCGTGATAAATTTGATATTACAGGGAAGTAGAACCTGCCATAAATATAGCATGCATGCATGCATTCCTATGTATACATTTTTATGTATATATTTTCCCATTTAGGACAGTTGTAAGAAAGTAGTAAGTCAGATGAACATCTTTGCTAATCAGCTTCCTTAGTAATATTTTTTTATATGGAGGAAGTGAGAAAGTGAATATCATCCAGGTTACACTGTCATTTTTTCCTTCTTTCTTACCATCAAATTATTAACTTGAACAGTCAAATGTTTAACTTACCACTGATGGTTGTCTGCCAGAAAAAATAAAGATTTTTTTTTTTTTTGCTTATAAACAATAGCCATCATTGACACATATGTGAATTTCTTGTTATCATCTGTCATCAGGGTTCAATGAAGCTTTTATTAGCTTCATTGAACACAGATTGATCCTAGTAGGAAATAATGAAATAAGTTCTAGGAATTTAGAGTCCTACGTGAATGTAGTGGAGTTTGGAATGCCTGTCTTGGCAAAAAAACTTTGATTGTGAAATGGCAGCCTATGTTTTATAGAGGAAAGAACAATTTAATCATTGTTGTTAACGGATTCCTAGTGGTGTGGTAAGATTAAGTATTTTGTTCAAAGGACAAAATGTTTTATGTGATGACATTCATACTGGCTTCATTTTGATTCAGAGCCAGTCTATTTATTAACACTTGAGGCCATGCTAAGATTGTTTGGAGTGGTAGAATGACTCTTAAATGGCAGTTCAATGTATGGAGACTCAGTTTGCATAATTCTCCTTCCCTGTTCATTTGGTTGAGATGGAAAAAATGGACTTTCACTGTTCTTCCCTTAGATTGTTTTATTGCTGACAATGGCTGAACCATAGCAGTGCCTTTTACTCTGTCTTAAAGTCCTGGAGTGACGTTGACATAAAATTACTTAAACAGCTAATCAAAATGTCAAAGACTCAGATGTCTTTTCATTCATTCATTCATTCATTTATTCATTCATTCATTCATTCATTCATTCATTCATTCATTTTCAAATGTATATATGCCGCCCATCTCACTATACAAGTGACTATAGGCGGCGTTACACATAAAAAACTATAAAATCCTAGAAAAAATGTATAAGTTAAGAACTACAAAAGGTTAAAATTAAGCTAAAAAGTTAAAACTACAATGCAAACTAAAAAGGTGGAGCATTGCTTAAATTTGCCATTGTAAACTCTGAACAGCCAAGTGTGAGAATTTTTTTATTGTCCTTGTGAAGCATACTTCTCAAAATGTTTTGTTGAGGAAGATTCTCAGTCATCCAGGTGGAATTATCTGGCGGTTGAGTCATGGCAAGCAGCAAAACATATTAAACCAAAGGAAAAGAAGTCCAGTTGCCATGACTCAGCCTCTACATACTTCTCAAGGACTGCCTGCAAATGTTCAGGCTTCCCAAACAGTTCTTGGATACATGTCATCCAAAGGCTTCAGAATATATTGTATTCAAGATGGAATGAGTGGTTAATGTTTAAGAAGAATGCTTTATTAATGTTGTTCTTAGTGTTGTGTCCTGCTTATTTACATGGTCCACTGTAACTGGACCATTGTTTTGCACTGTACTTGCCTAATTTTTACAGCAAAGCTTATCAATGCATGATGCAACACAGAGTTTTGTTTCTTAGCCAACTTGTTACAGAGCCTGGCAATAATTAGGGCTGAGAAAGAATGACTGGCCCAAGGTCACCCAACTAATTTCTCTGCCCAGGGAACCCTGGGTTTCCCCACTCCTTGTCCAGCACCTTAACCGTGATACCATGCTGGCTTTCTAGGGCAATACTTTAATATAATGGAATGATCAATGTAATGTTTTATGGGTATTTTGCATTGAAACTTGTGCCAGGAGATTGGCAGGGGAGACTTGAAGATGAATGTAGCTTGATTTCTGCAACATTATTTTTGCTGTTATACAATTCGCATGGTGTTATTGGTTATTTTGTGATATTGTTTTACGTATTTAGTTATTGTAATATGTTTTGATTTTCATTGTACACCACCCTGACTTGTTGGGAAATATGGCGATATAGAAATGTGATAAATAAATAAATACATTGAAGCGAGATATTATTTTCTGTATCAAAGCAGCCACAAATAGAACTCCTTTTGAGATTGTAAATTATAACTGCTAGTTGCTTTTATCTCTGATAAAAAGACAGTAGAAACACTCTTTTGAAACAGCTTTGTTGTATGACATGGCTCTCTGATTCTTAAAGTGGAGCAGCCACTTCACTGGAAAAATGGACTTCTACTCAGGCACAACAGAAGCGCACAGGTGAATTTCCAGTTAAGGGGGAGGGGAGGATGGTGTTCCAGAAGAGATGTTTTGTATTGTGCCAAGTGCCTTGTTGATGAAAGCTCATTGCTCCTTTGCATTAAAGAGTAGAGTAGATTGTCTCTGCAGCACAGAGCACCTTGTCAAAGCAAATGATGCCCCCCTTGCCCTGCTCTGGTAATAGATAATTCTAAAGAACTCCTGTTATCACGTCTCGTTTAGCAAATTCTACACATGGCATCATCAGGTAGACAATATTGGAATAAACTGGACTATGTGGTAGGAAATAGAAGATGAAGAAGTGCAATCTAGTCAATCAGGACACTTTGCAGATGTAGATTATGGACTAGAACATGAATTAGTATTATCAAGTATACAAATTAAAGTGAGAAAATTAAAGAGGATACCAGCAAGATATGACTTGGAGAACATATGATCAGAATATAGCATAAGTATAAGAAATTAATTCAGTAGCTTAAGTGATGTAAAAAGGAATCTGAGGAGTTATATAATGAGATTGGAAACATTGTGAAGCCCAGGCAGAAAATATATTCCCTAAATTTCAAAAGAGAAAAGAGCTAAGTGTTTTCAGAACAAGCTATCATGATAGCCAGGGAAAGATGAAATCTTTGGACAACAAGGACATATGAGAATTGATCAGGGACTCTGTGTAATGCAAGGAAAAGCTTTTACCCACTTCCAAGTTATCAGCACAAATTAAAAATGAAAATGTTTGACAGGTTTAGTAGCTAGATGGATAGAGATAAGAGCATTAAAATGGGAGAATGGGGCAGACTATGGATAAGATTATAGGCGTTGGTGATAAATGCTTTGGGTGAGAAAAACTCACCCTCCAAACCGTTCTATATTCATTCATACATACATACATACTGTACATACGTACATCTCATGCTATTCCTTTCCCTCTAAAACTAAAACTGCCAGATAATTCACAGTTGTTTAGTTATAACTTCTCTGTAAATAAGGGCAAGCCTGTCTTCCTACGAAACATCAACACTACTTGAGATTAGTTCATATTTGTGGTTGCAGACAAAAGAGCTTGTTTTAAGCCTCTTTAAATACATCCACAAATAGCATCAGGCAATCCATGACTGCAACCTGCTATC